ACTCTGGGCTTTGGATTTTTCTTGAAGATGTTAGCATATCTTGGAGGATTCGGATAAAATTTATGTACTCAGCTGGCTGCGTTCATCATTTTGAGGAGACTCACATCAACTACATCACCGGGAGCACTTCGGTCCCAATCATTCCGCTGCTCCTCGCGGATGTGGTATGTGAACCCGCCAGGAGCTATTTTGGCCACAATTCTTATGACATGGCTATGTCGAAACCTTGGCACCCGGATGGTGCCCTAAAATAGCTGGCTAATGGAATATGGCAATAATAGGTTTTGACCCATTCCCACATGGTACTGTCGAACTGAAACTACCAGAGTTTAGAAACCCTGTTTTGGCTACAGAGTCTGGTAACCTATTTGGTGCAGGAAGAGACTCGTATTTGGTCGGACTGAATACGCAACGCACGTAGCTCCTTGTTCTGCACATCAACCGCTGGTAAACTGGTAAACTGTTGGTTATGCTGGTAAAAATCAACCAACCAATGTACTTGGGCCATGTATTTGGGCTGGTCATTTGGATTATTTGAAGGACAGTCTCCCAACAACAGCCTTCATATTGTGCATCTACAACAATGGATGCATATAATATAAAACAACAAATCAATAATTATAACAACATACAATCATACATTAAACACACACACACAGACATACAAACATACATACATACATATACACATATATACATGTATTACATAAACATTTACAATATTAATAATGACATAATAAGATAATAATAATAGTAATCATAATGATAATAGCATCAATAATAATAATAATAGTAATAATAATAGTAATCATAGTATAATACGGGCCGACGTCCACGAGGTGTCCGGTCATCAAAAAACGTTGTGTTTTCTAGGACAAAAAAATCAGATGCCCATGGTCATGGCCTTCATCTTGCAACGCGCAGCATAGGGACCTGTGCATGCCTCTTATACATCATCATCACAATAATCATCATATAATCATCATGGTCATAAAACCCTAAACCCTAAAACCCTAAAACCCTAAAACCCTGGACCTCACGCAAAAGAACCCTAAAACCCTAAACTCAAGATGTGCCCCAAAAGGGTGTGGGCGAACTAGGGGGATTTATACGCCTAATAACAGTAATAATAATCACACAAAAAATAATAATAGTAGTAATAATAATAGCAATAATTATCAAAATATATCTATATCTATATATTTATATATTTATATATCTATATATTTATATATATCTATATATCTATATATCTATATATCTACATATCTATATATCTATATATCTATATATATCTATACATATCTATATATCTCTATATATATATATCCATATATAAATATACCTATATATATCTATATATCTCTATATATATATACATATCTATATATATCTTTATATATCATTATCTATATATATATATCTCTATATATCTATCTATCTATCTATCTATTTATCTATCTATCTATCTATCTATCTATATCTCTACCTATCTATCTATCTCTATCTATCTATCTCTATCTATCTATCTCTATCTATCTATCTCTATCTATCTATCTCTATCTATCTATCTCTATCTATCTATCTCTATCTATCTATCTCTATCTATCTATCTCTATCTATCTATCT